AAATTTGTGTAAATAAAATAAAACACATGCCTTTCAAATGTATGTCAGGCTAAGATGAGCCGGGCTGGCTGAGCTCAAGACTGCATTTTTGGAAAAAGCTCTCAAACCCCTATCAGCAGAGGGACTGTACCGCAGCAACAGAGCTGCACTGTCCTCCTCTCACAGGAACTGTATGTCTTTGACTCAACTCTTACATAATCTTTACTTGGGCCAACTGAAAACTGCCAGGCCCAGTTTCCGGTTTAAAATAAATACTCCAGTCTATTTAAGCGCTCACCACAGAAGCATCCAAAAAATTATTTAATAATCGGACATGAGGTAAAACTTAAAAATCTAAAAAAAAACAAAAAAAAAAACGGATAAACTTTTTTTTTGATAAATGTTTGTAAAAGTTATTACTAAGAACATGCATAAATATGAAAAAATATACATAATGATCCATAAAATGTTTTATTTTTTTATTATCTAATATCTAACATCTACAATTCTATCTTAAACTGGCCATTATTTTACAATACAAAACATTCAGCCCACTTAAAATAAATGTAATTCTTACTGGCAATTATTGATTATGGCAATGAACACAATGATTGTAGTAATAATGTCGTTTCAATAATATCATGTGTAATACAATGTGTCTTACCTGTGTTTGGAGCTGCTTCTGTCCTGCTCTGTGTTGTATGAGGCTCCTTCCATCAGCTTTGAGAACCTCCTGTGACTGACTGAGATTAATGGAGAAAGAGAGACAGAGAACAGGAGCTGCACTAGCCAAAGGACCCGGGGCAATCAAATCTCCTACTTAAAGTTTTTCCATACTCCGCCTCCTTGACAATTTACATTGAGCAATTTCCATGCTCCTGAACTGTTTTATGGGTGTTTTTTCCTGACGAGAAACTCCCTAAACAGTTAACAGTTAAGACTTTTTGAATCTATCTGCGATAAGCAGTCTCTCACCTTTATGTTTATCAGTTATTGCTTTATGTGGCATGAATGCTGTCTGCTGGAATTCTGCATGTTTTTACCAATATAATGGACAATGTCAAACACTAAATCTATAATGTGTAACATCATTTTTTTCCCCATGTTACAACCACCATGTGGGTTAAAGGGACAATTCAACCAAACATCCTGCTATAATATTCATCTTCAAGTTTGTAATAATTGTAAGAATATTGTAAATGTTTAAAATAGCAGCATTTCCACTTTGATCACTATTAACACAAATGTACCATTTAATTTGATTTTGTCTTGATTTTATCCAAATTATGACGTTTTTTAAAATTATTTTAAACGTATAATAATTAAAGGTGCAATAGGTGATTGTCTTCAGAAACATTTTTTGTTATGCTGGTTGAAAGTCTCTTCACATCCCGATATAACTCATTAAGTTAAGTGGTCTAAATGTATTTGTCTGTATTTATATATTCTGTGGAAGGCGTAGGATCAAGAAATGTTCGTCCAATCAAAATGCTCGGTCCGAGCCCAGCGGTTAATCCAGTCCTCTCGCCAGTTCGTTAGAAGTGAGCTACGTGCATGAACTGTGTTCCGATTGATATGATCCCTACACAGTGTTCATTGCTCCCTCCTCCCTGAGCAGGGGAAATCCGTTGAAGTTTACTTCACTTTGGAACATGGGCTGGAATTGGGAACCGCTGATGTAGCCTATAGTAGTAATGTTGACTCTGGTCTGTGAGCGTATATGTGTTCAGGGGGCGTGGCTTTGGATGGCGATTGCAGGGAGGGTGGGACGTTCGCTTTCAGTGCTATCAGGCTAAAGTTAGCATTTACCAAGATCTCCTACTGCATCTTTAATAATAGTAATAATCTTATAATAATAATTATAAATATTAGATAGTTTTCTTCATTTTAAGCAGATCCTATTAGTGACTAAATTGCTTCTGAATTTAATACATGTCTGATATGAATGTATTAATATTAATAATAATACTATTAATAATGAATCAAGTAGCTAATAAGTTTGAAATGCTGGATTTGTCAATATTTATAGTAATTAAAACATTTCCTGACAGTGTTGTACCCATATTACATGATAAACAAAGAAAACACATTTTGTGAGAAAATGGTTACACCCCAAAAATAGGTGGAAACCTCTGTCAGACAGATTTATGCTGGATAGATTTATCTCAAATAATTCCATATACACTTCATTTGACCCTTTCCACAATGATCTGGCTTGTACTTTTTATTTCTAGCACCTGATGAAAGTTTGATTGTGAAGATCCTCTAGTGGAACACAGAGAGTGTTTGTCATGTCAGCGGATGGGATATGATGAGTGGTCACTGCTCACTAGCGCCCCTGCTTGTATGATGCTTATATCATGTTAAAGCAGGCCCACATCAGTGAGACCACCGTTCTGGTGCTGACCTGACCTTACCCTCTTAGTCAAAGCAGTGCCAAGCCTTGAGCTGTATACAAACCTAACAAAACAACCATCTACTAACAAGCATTTCTGGGAATTCATGAGCCAAAAATTACATTATACGGTATAGAGTATTGCTCATTTGTTTCTGTGGAAAACTTTCTATTTACCACTATTTAAACAAAACACTTTAATCCAGTTGTATTTGCATTTGTTTGTAATTTATAGACTTTTTATTTTAATGAGAAATGGTTTCATGAAATAATAGACTAAATATACCTGTGTTGATTAATCTATTTAAATGCACACAAATTATATTTAAAAAATCTTAATATTGTACACAAATAACACAGATGCTTTGATGCCATTAACAGTGCAAATATACATTTAAGTGAGTAATTACTGAATTTTATAAAAATAATAAAGTATAAATAAAGTATATATTAAAGTATAAAAATCCAGTCATTAAGTAGTTGGAAAATTCAGTTTATGATAGTATCTATGTTTCGGAACATGATAACTTTCAAAAACAGCTTGACCATCTAAAACTGGTATAACCAGGTGGTACTTTCTTGTTCCAGAAACTAGCATGTTCCAAAAACCAACTTGACCACCTACCATGCTGTTTGATGATTTGTTTGTTTATTGACCCAATGATGGCCCACCTGCTCATGACCAGCTAGAAACCACCTACCATGTTCCAAAAACCAGCTTGACCACCTTTACGTCTTTTCTTTGTTTGCATTTTTGTTTATTTGGTCTATGATGATCTACCAGCTAATGACCAGCTTAAACCAGCTAGAAACTAGCACTATGTTCCAAAAGCCAGCTTGATCACCTAAAATGCCATGAGCTGGGTTGTTGCTGTTTTAAAATGCTCTGTTAACTTGAACCATTTGTTGGCATCTTAGACCAGCTATAAACCAGCCTAGCTATCCTTCTAAAAACCAGCTTGACCACCTTTTCTTGATAGTAGTTAGGTTGCGGAAGGTCTGAGAAGTGACACTGCGTTGGATGGCATTTGTCGGTGAAGTGTGAATTAGCCTTTAAAACTGTATGATCAGGTCGTAGGTTTGTTGTCAAAAATGGTCTACTAGCTTGCACCAGCTAATGCACAGCTAGAAGCCTACCAGCTTAATTTAAATATCCAAAAGGGATGTGAAAATCAGATTTTGTTGATTTGATTTGAGTTCTTTAATATAATTTGGGCTGCACTAACATGAAAGTTGGCACGGTCATGTTGGAAACATCCAAAAATTCAAGATATGCATAACAAGTAAATTAAGGTGATGTTAAGAGATGCAAACTTATTTATACTGAGCAAAATTATAAACGCAACACTTTTGTTTTTGTCCCCATTTTTCATGAGCTGAACTCAAAGATCTAAGACTTTTTCTATGTACACAAAAGGCCTATTTCTCTCAAATATTGTTCACAAATCTGTCTAAATCTGTGTTAGTGAGCACTTCTCCTTTGCCGAGATAATCCATCC